GTGTGTGTGTGTGTGTGTGTGTGTGTGTGTGTGTGTGTGTGTGTGTGTGTGTGTGTGTGTCACAAAGGGTCTCACTTCAACATAATTTGAAGGTGTGTCTCTGGTGCATTTCTGGTTAAAACATGTTTGTTCTTCATTCAGTGAAGTWACTTATGTTGGGTAGAGTATTCCACAATTTTACTCAAGTAAGAGTAACGATACTTCATTATAATATTACTCAGGTAAATTAAAAGGTATGGTGTAGTAAAACTACTCCTAAAATAGTTTTTTTCCAAAATGTTACTCAAGTAAATGTAACTGAGTAAACGCACTTCCCACCTCCAGAAATCAAGTGAAATAATTTGCCAGAGCTGTAAGATAATTACACCTGGTAAAACTTCTTGAAATAAGAAAATTTCCAGGCTAACAAGATTAATAATATAACTCATTCTGCTTTTGATTAGTAACAGTCTCAAAACACGATCAAAAATACTTTTTGGCTGATGTAAGATTGTAAGATTTGGTTTGACAGATAAATTTTTGAAGTGTAACATTAAAAAAAGACAAAGTTGCAGCTGTTTTTGTGAAACCTTAAAGACAACGTTATGCATCTTTTGAGCCATTGTAAGATCAACAACATCTAWTTTTAGCTCAGAAGCTATAAAACTGACTGAATTATACCTTTTTGTGGGAGTTTTATAAACAGTTTGCTGTGGTATCCATCTGAAATTGGGTGGACTAAAGTAAATTAATTAAGGATGAGCGCATACCTTATTCTGAGAGTTTTTAAAAATCATGTTTCTGCAAAAACATTATCACCCGCCTACGCCTTTCGGTGGCAGGCAGTAATAATTGTAACTGTAGTTCTAAATTGTGGACTTAGATTTCAAAGGGAAGCCTCGAGTTCGCATCAAATGATTTGCTGAGGTCTGTGAGTGATAACATTTTTCTCACTATCATTTAAGGGCAAATTATTTATTTATTTTCTTTACAAAGCAGCAGAGCTTAAAATGATCTGCTCAAAGGCATTTTCACAACAGCAGTTCTGTCAAAAACAAAATAGAGAGTTATTTGAGACCATTTATGAGTCTGCCACAGCCAACTTTAGTTACAGCTGCTGGTAACACCAGGTTATATGGAGAATGAGCTCTTCAGTGCTGCTGGATTCTTTGGGCTGATYGCATTGGAATTTACAGATCAGATAATCAGGCAGGATTTGGGCATTTCTGTGGTTTGAGGCATTGATTGTATCTTTAAGTAGCCTTTAAAAAAGAGATTAAATCAGACGGTGTAAATCTTTGACAGATAGTGGATCTTGGCTCACTTAAGATGAACTAGATGTGAACCAAAAACCATGAACTGCTGCACCAGGTTTGTAGCTGCAGCAGATCTGGTCAATTTGAAGCAGCTCTGGAGGGAAGTTTGTTTCTTAAAGGAAAAAAAAAACACCCTTAAGGGTTTGGTTTTTATCCAGTGTGAGTTTTAAAGCAGCAACAGCATTGGTAAAGTTAACGTTTCAGGTAATTTGTCTCATTCAGACCGATTCCACACGGCACCGAGTGTTTCCGACATTTGAGCGTTTGTGTGTTGATGCACGATGACGCCGCGGTGCTCGTTGCACGCCAGGGAGAATGAGCGTGTTTACTGTGCGGTTTCTGGCCTCCCAGCATCTGTTTACGACTGCGAAGATTATCGCCGCACTGCAGTGTGACATTAACTCATCGGAGTCACTCTCACACCTCACAGTSCTGGCTGCTTGCTCCTCATTCACTTTCAGCCGGACTTGACAAGTGAGAAATGAGCGTGGAAGCGGATGTTTACAGTGTCTGCACGCACACACCCAGAAAAAACAAAAAGTGCATTGTTTCAGGTCCAGAAACAAGAAGGCTCAACCAGGGGGAGAGGCTGTGCTGATGGAGGATACCACACAAATATGCGCTCATTAGATTGTTTGGTTTGGATTMGGATTATTTATTTAGCAGTTAATTACATTAAAATACATAATCTCACTGGATTTTCAACGTAAGCTCAGTTACTGAAACCACATTTACAGACATACAAGCCAAAAAAACATGTAGGAGTTTAGTTTTTGTTGAAAGAAATGTCAGTTTCACTGAAAAGCTGCCAGGTGGCAGAGAAAACAAGTAAAAAAAATGTGCAAAAGAACTTGAAAATCAGTCAATTTCATTTTGAGTATTGATTCAGAACYAGACAGACATCTGATGATCCGACAAAAACTTTATGAAATCAATAAAGTGCACTTGGACACGCTTGAGTCCCCCGAGGTGTGAGCCAGCAGGCCCAATTCGATTTCTGTGCCTCTGCTTCATTCCCTGACTCTCTAAGTCTGACGGCATCTTTGGACTTACAACTATTTTCGGAGGATGAGCTCACACCACCTCTCTGGCATCGCCACTCCTCTCCACCTCCAGCGCGCACTCTCCCAGGGGGATGTCTAGCCCACTAACGGGCGCTCGTGGCTGGGCAGGCAGGAGCTGCAGAGAGGGCCTCTCAGCGGGACCGTGTGGGGCTCTTAGCTGCTGCAGTGCGAGTGTTAACGGAAGAGGAGTGAATAATTTAGAAACATCATTTCTGCTGGGTGTTAAATATTTAAGCAGCCTCTGATGTAACTGTGGAACACGGGTGTGCATGTATCTGTGCGCTCCGGGGTGGAAGATGGACACAAAGTGGGTGGTGGTGTTTGAAGGGAGGGGCGCCCACTGCGGCTCCTGGTGAAGCTAAAAGAGGTGAAGGACAGGGGTTATGAGAGGGGAAAAGGTTTTTTACATTCCTGAATGCAGTTTTTGTTGACTTTTTATTTCTTTAAAAGTAATTTGTGGACTTGATGTGRTTTTGCGTAGATAAATAATTTAAATTATGGGTTGTTAGAAAGAAGAAGCATTTTTTTTCTCTTAGTTTTAAGTCATTCTTGTGTTTGACTTTTTTTTTGTCCAGTAGCTGTCGGCGCAGCTTCTGTCAGTGTGTGTGTGTGTGTGTGTGTGTGTGTGTGTGTGTGTGTGTGTG